ACGAAACCCAACGCTAGCTGTGGTTGTTTCACGCCGGTTTTCTGTGAGGCTGTGGTGTCACTCCGGTCGAGCCGACCCATTCGTGCCGAAGTTTGGCTCTACCACCCTTATCAACCTCCGTCATGTACATCTTCTGGAAGAGTAAATATTCCGCGGAATAACTAAATATTGTTCCTAACATGTAATGTCATAGATTTTCGCAAAGTAACGCCTGATTTTATAAATTATTTTTTCGAAAGATTAAAAAAATGCACAAGCAGATAGATATACCTATTTAGTTTCTTACATATTGTTTCAGCTTGAGGTTTCCATGTTAATTGGCTATCTAATGTGTATTACATTAAACGTTTTGACCATTATAATTGATGTTTAAGTTATAATAAATATTATAATAATAAAAGTAATATTATATCATAGTATTTCCATAGTTATCATATCCACCAGTCCATAGCAACCCATACCCATAACCCTTTCGTTTATTACCACAATTCGCAATAGTCTTGCATCAACCGGGGATTATCCTTGGGTGCACTTTCATAGTGCAAACAGGGATAATTGCCGGCTGATGTCCCATCACATTTAGATTAAAACTGTTCAACGGGCCTCTGCGAGTTGGCTTCGGCCCCTCGTACGCCTTCCAAAGGTCCGGGATCCTATGATCCCGTGAACGGAAACGAACATACAAAGTAATATAATAACTAAAAAATAATAATTATTAAAAGTATATAATAATTATAATAAAAGTAGATGTGCATTAAATATATTTGTTTTATTTAAGTTATAAGTTATTATTTATGATTTAACCAATTAATCAGTCAACCTTTAGTTTGTCGTTCCCGTCTTGTTCGTATAGCTGTTTATCATGGCATTTTATTAATATTGTGCTGTCGTCTGCGCATAAAACCATTGTGTGATTAATTTGCCGAAGGATATCATTTATATAGAGCTGAAGAAAAAGTGGGCCCAGGACACTGCCCTGTGGAACTCCAAATTTTATTTCACTCAAGAGAGTTACTGTAAGTCTTAAAACCGCAATTCAGCGGAAGTAGCAAAAGTACAGCGCCATCTCTCAGTGAATTTGGTTACTAATTTAAAGGGTGGTCATTTTATATTCCATAAACCGATTTTAATAATTCTTTTTTTATTTGAAAGAAGTTACCTTCAGAATAATAAAATATAATAACAAATTTAAAACAATACTTGCATCTATGTACGGTTAAATTACAAAATTAGTTCCGGTCGAGCCATAAAGAAAGCAATCCGGGTTTTTTGATTCATTATGCTCTCGCACACTTGATTACACATTATAAAGATTATTTGAATTTAGTACGTGCTGTATTCTTAGGTGTTAATTAAAAATAAGTATAATAAGTCAAATAAGATGTGTACCCACGTTAATAATAGTCCATTATGGTACCTACAAGTGTGTAATTTGTACACGTGTAGGAATCATACGATGTTTTTCTCGCGCCCGGGCTTAGTCGAGGCCATGGTGCGGAGCGAGAGGAACTTGGACGCCGTCTCCTCCTTCTGTGAAGCAGTTATGCTCGCAAAGATAGAGGCGGCCCGCGTGAGGGAGCAATCCTCCTCCTCACGCCCCAGCCGCCGCAACACTACGGGCGTCGGGGATCAAAGGACGATTTTCGGCGACTGTAAGCGCGGGTCTGCGGTCGGCGAGTAAGGATAGCTCGCCGCCCGACCAGAAACAGACCCGAGCGCGTAGCGTTCCACGCGCGCCTCAAAGAGCCAATAGACCACCACAGACGGCCCTTATAGGGCTGATGTTCAGCCGGGGTTGCGGGGTAAGCGCAATGAGGCACCGCGACCTCGGCCTAGAGCAGGAGAAGGAACAGGGGGTTTTTAGTCAGTAAGAGTCTGACACTCCCTCCCGCCGGGAGAAGTCATTTAATGATTTTCTCCTCACAAAAAAAAATCATATGATTATTTTCAACACACTTCTGAATATATTATTATATATTTTTTAAAATAAAAAACCATTTTACGTAGTAGATAAAAAAAAGTTTCGTAATCATCATCATCATCAGCCGGAAGACGTCCACTGCTGGACAAAGGCCTCCCCCTTAACTCTCCACGTCCAACGACAAGTTGCCACCTGCATCCATTGGCTCCCCGCGACTCTGACGATGTCGTCGCTCCACCTAGCGGGAGGCCTGCCCACAATACGTTTTCCGGTTCTTGGTCGCCACTCTAGCACTTTATGGCCCATCGGCCGTGGTTGGCATGGTGGGAAGAAATCCAAATCCAAACTAATATGATACATGAGAAAGTAACTCTGTCTGTCTGTCTTTTCATCACGCCTAAACTACTGAACCCATTTCTATGAAATTTGGTACAGACATAGTTTGGAACTCGAGAAAGGACATAGTATAGTTTTATACTAAAAATCTGCAGGAAGTTATTTTTCCACGCGAACGGAGTCGCGGGCAAAGGCTTCTTACATATCAATATTCCTAAGCGCCGGTTTTCTGTGTGCCTCACAGAAAACCGGCGTGAAACAACCACAGTGTTGTGTTTCGCCGTGTGAGTGAGGTTACCGGTGGCCCAATCCTTCCCCTTCCCAATCCCTCCCCAGTTCCTAAATTTCCAAATCCCTAATCCTTAAAAGGTCGGCAACGCACTCGTAACTCCTCCGTTGTGGGTGTCCATGGGCTGATTGCTTACCATCAGGTAATCCGTCTGCCCGTTTGCCGACCTATTACATAAAAAAAAGAGCGCGCCTCGGCCATAGACTAAAATTAATGTTTATTTTTTTGGGCTTTTCGCGGGTTTTTACCCGACTGCCAAAGAAGGAGGGTAATGTTTTTCGAGTGTATGTAAGTATGTATGTATGTCTTTTCCTTTGTGACCTCCTGTAGCCTAAACGGCTTGATGGATTTTGATGTATGAGGTATCGTTAGATTTGTCTTGATTACGGGAGTGTCATAGGATACATTTTATCCTAAAAGTCCCACGGGATAAAGACATAATAATATTTTTTCTAAATTTCCCTTTAAAAAAATATGTATGCGGTATCATTAGATTCATTTCAATCACGGGAGTAATTAATATAGGATACGTTTTTTCTCAAAATTCCCACGGGAACATGTTAATTCTGCGTCAACGCAAAGCAACTCATGCGTTAGCAAGCAAAAAGATAGGGCGTGGCCTGGCATGCGGCGCGCGGCGCGGTGCGGAGGGGGATATGCTCGAGTATACAGCCCGAATGCGGGCACACGCATAAGGGCACACGTCGTTGACGGTCGTCTCTAAATAGCGATTTTTTCGATACTTCGTCGTCTGACGCGAAACTTATAAAGTATAAATAACTCGTTCTTTTTCTTTCGTGTTTCTCTCTTTAAATTTATTCGTTCTTTCTAATTAATTAACTCGTTCTTCCGTTCTTTTTTTTGGTTCTTTCTTAAATTCTTCATATTAATTAATAATATAATAATAATTATTAATAAACTAAAAAGTTATAAATAAAAAAATTATTATTAAAAAAACAAAATACCCGACTGCACACTAAAAAAAGAGTAAAACAAGCCCCACAATACAAATTTACTGAATATAATTTATAAATGTTGATGGAAAGCATCGCAGGCGGGGACCACCTTGACCGCCACCAACGAAAATTCTGCTAAATGGTGCACAATAGAAATGACTATAAATAAGCCTCTGTTGGTCCCCGCCTGCGATGCTTTCCATCAACATTTATAAATTATATTCAGTAAATTTGTATTGTGGGGCTTGTTTTACTCTTTTTTTAGTGTGCAGTCGGGTATTTTGTTTTTATAATAATAATTTTTTTATTAGCCCAAGTATAAGCGTAAGACGCGGCGACATCGCGCAGCCTACTAGCCTCTATGGTTCGAAACTAGTAGAGATTTTCTCAATTACACAGGTGAGTAATCCGCGATTTTTAGTTATTTTAGTATGTCTTACGATAGTTATTATAAAAACAATTTTATCCTTATTTAAAATCACCGCCCATCTTATGCTTTCACGGAAAAATCTAGAATTGTATCTTAACTTTTCTAAAGGGTGATCTAGAGAAATGTTAATATATACCACGCGTTTTTAAAACCGCAGGCTAATATCTAATGGTACCTAGTTACTTAGGTAGGTACCTAATTGACAAACATTAAAGATTAAAAACCTATCTGTAATAAGAATTAATAATTAGTTAGTTAATTTGAAGTTTCGAAACAAATAATGCAACTTTTGCCTTAATAAGGTTCCTATCGTACGGTATTTTTATGTTTAAAATATTTTATTATAAGCTGTTATTGTGTAGTCGTTAAAATCGTCAGTTGTAAATTGTACGCGAAATCGTGAACAAGATCGCGGACGGAATTAAAACGAAACAAAACGTTTCCAATTTCGAATTCGGTCAAAGACAATAAAAAAAAAGAAATGATAATTTCTTTTTTAAATTCTCTCTTTTAGTGGCACAAGTGATCGATTCAAAAGTTGTGTGTGATTCAAGAATTTATTACTAAAAATCAAGAAACGTAATTAGATATAAGGAGCTAAGGTAGATATCTATACTGTATTTTTTTTAAATGTAATATGTCGACAAACGAGCCGACGGATTACCGCCCATGGACACCCGCAACGGAGGAGTTATGACTGTGTTGCCGACCTTTTAGGGATTAGGCATTTGGAGATTTAGGGATTGAGGAGGGATTGGGGGAGGGGAACGATAGGGCCTCCGGTAACCTCACTCACACGGCGAAACACGCTGTGGTTGTTTCACGCCGGTTTTGTGTGAGAACGTGGTATCACTCCGGTCGAGCCGACCCATTCGTGCCGAAGCATGGCTCTCCCACACTTTTATAAGTATCATAATAAATATAAGTACAGATAAATAGTTAAACTATTAAAATTAATGAGATCTTTTCCGTTGTACGCTATCAACTTAAGATTGACCTCTCATTTATTTATTATTAGTAATTAATTTACATTTAATGATCACAATCATTTGTTTAACTGTCAGATACGTTCGAGCTGTCAACATGAACGCGTTTGGTGTGATGTAAGTAAAATAGATATTATTTATTATTATTTTTAAGTAGGTTTAAGTTTTAACCCATTGTTTAACAAGACTTTGTTAATCTATGTGGTTTGTTTAATTCTATAAACATTATTTCTGTTGTTAAATACTTAGGTACCTATACGCGATAAATGAATAATTATCCAATTCTGTCAAATTTGGTATAGTCGTTTAGGAGTTTTGTGCGATAAAACATTTTGGTGACTCGTTCTTTACGGGTCTCTACACAAAGGTTAAAAACGGGAATTCTAGATAAGTCACTCCGGTGTCCGTCCTTCTTTCCGTAGGTCTATCCGTCTCTCTCTAGATTAATCTCATAAACTCTAGGTCTGGTGATGTTTTCCTTTCATAAAAAGTATTAAAAACAAAATGGCGAAATAATATTTACAGGAACCTATACAAGTAAAGTGTTTTGTCGTTGTTTTGTGGAATACACGTGTTGAAGCGTGCGCTGTTTATAATGTACCATTCATGTTATCTTTATATCTATACATACATAAATATATATCTTTATATACTTAATAGCTACTCTCGCGCTTTTGATCGTAGCGTGATGTTTTATAGCCTATAGCACTCAGAAACATTGTAGCTATCTATCAGTGAAAGAATTTTGGCAATCCGACCAGCGGTTCCAAATATTACCCCCTACATAGAAACTTACAAATACTTCTTTATAATATTTAGTATTAGGTAGTATAGATAAAAATGAAACGCATAACGTGTTGGTAAGTTCAAAACTCATAAACGGCTGAACCAATTTTGTCAATTCTTTTTTATTGTATTCTTTATAATGCTTAGACCACACAGGAGAAAATCCTAAAGCGGGGCAACGTTGTAAAAAAAAAGTAATAAGCCGGTTTGTGTCCCATTCCATTTAGATCAAAGTTGTCTAAAGGGCCTCTGCGCAGTTGGCTCCGGCCCCTCGTACGCCTTCCAAATGACCGGGACCCTGTGGTCTGTGATTGGTAATGACATACATAATAATAAATGTAAATCCTCAAGGCTGCTTGTGGCATTGGTGCAATGACGACCATACGAATCTGACTCCAGGGAGGTGTCTTATTATTTATCTCCAGTTAGTACCCCTCACTAGCTGGAGTACACACCGATGAATGAGGCAGAATACCTTGTACTCCAGCTTTTCTGCCTCATTCTTGCCTTAAATGGAAATTCGAACGAGTAGGAGTTGAAGGAGACTCGGGGGAGGATGTATCTCTCTCTCTCTCTTGATTAATCAACATAACACAATTAAGGCAATAATTGCCTGAATTATTCAACGCAGGCCGCACCACGGGCCGCACTCAGAGCTAGTTAACGCCTGATAAAATTGCATTAGCAATCAGTCGCTGATCAGTATAATGTAGCTTTCTATAACCGTAAGTCATAAGCCGCTACATATTCCCGGCCGTCAAAAGTTTCCTTTCAACCTTAAATTGGCGAAGAATGCAACCTCGACACGTTTTCGTTTCGGAAACTCGTGTAAACTCTATCTTTTTTTATGTAATAAGTCGGCAAACGAGCAGACGGATTACCTGATAGTAAGCAATCAGCGCCGCCCATGGACACCCGCAATGGAGGAGTTACGAGTGCGTTGTACACGCGGCGTGCACAACGCCACATATTTTGATAGGAACACTCGTCTCAGCAAGCTACGGCTGTTAACTACTTGATCGGACTAATCCCTGCGATGGCCTCTATGCTAAGGCCCCCAGCCAATGCAACTAATTCTACATGACCGCATCGCTGAGGGCCCTGTGGGATTCGACACTCACACTCCCTCCCGCCCGGCCCGGAGCGAAAGAAGTCATAAAAAAAGGCTCACCGGGCAAATGTGGAGGTGCAGCAAATCAAATTAGGCTGGGTGGGATTATTTACGCGGGTTTTTATAACTACTGTCGGCTCACTGTTATACTGGTGTAAACAAATGTTGGTAAATCTAAATAAATAAAAAAAATAAAAATAAAGCTAGCGCGGCAAATGTTTGCGCGCAGGCAAACGTCGCCGCTTGATGCGAGCGTCTACTTCATTGCCCACTACCGCAACCTCGATCCCAACTCTATAAACGCGATGAACTTCAAACAGTGAACATACTCAACGAGATCTCGTCGCTCAAAAACTAAATTTTCTGGTCCTTTATAAGAGCAAACGAAACGTGCACACACAACTGTGGGTACGTTTCGTTTGTTCTTTTTTAGCAAGGATCATGTAGCGGCTGCGAAGCGTCAATTATATACAAATACTATTCTTATTTTGTAACACTGTTGGTCCCGTGTGGCACAGCTTTATACATACACTGACAGCAAGTAAAACTAACCAATTATTGACATATACGATAAGGAGAAGTTAACTCAATCATCAATTACAATACATATGTAATATTTTTTGATTCATTCTGAATTCTATATTTAACTCGGTGTGATAGCGAGCGACCAGGCGTGTGACGTCACATTGTATGACGCTCGCAAAGTTGTCGGCTAGCGGCCGCACTCTAGTACGTGATCGTGAAAATGCTCGGTGCTCTGAGATCGGGGAAAAAATATATTTTTTTTACTTTAGCTTTTTTTACAACGAACGTTTGAGAGGGTCGTATTTTAATAGGTACCTATGAAATCGCCGTTTTGCATGAAAAAATTTAAACGAATTTTTTTGATTTGAAATGCAATGAAAATGTAACACTAATCAATAAATAAATGACTACTTTCCGAAAAAGAATCCCATGTTTTTAAAACAAAATTAATTAGCCTTAGATTTGAACAAAAACTATTTTGATTTGAAATGGCCAGTACTGTAGAACGGCCATTTCATAGGTTAAAGACCTACTTACTATAAAAATAATTTTCAAATTTTCTCAGAATTAAACCACTAAACATTTTTCCGAGTTTGTGATACATTACGAGGCTTATTTAGGCCCAAAAGCCTTTCACATAGGGCGACATACGATTGCCAGCTCAGTACGTACCTACGTTCTTTTTTCGTGCTTAACCTCTTTCCTACATTTAGGTACACCGTACAGATTTTCGCCTGTCGTAGTACTGTGGATTGAGATCTGATATTTATAGATACTGATATGAGGTCAACTACTCAATTCATATGTATTTGTGTGATAATCTTTTAATTGAGTTGAATAGGTCGGTCTGGCCGGTATGGACGTGATCTGTTTCGCCGTGTGAGTGAGGTTACCTACCGGAGGCCCAATCTTCCATACATTATTAGATCCCCCATCCCCAATAGTTATACAATAGCTCGCTTTGGAGTTTTGCTGATTATTTTATTTTCATGAAACTACATGACATTGCACTATTATAAGTTACTAGCTACTCTCAGCTCCATTTGATCGCAGCGAGGTGTTCTATAGCCTATAGCACTCAGGTACATTATAGCTATCAATCAGTGAAAGAATTTTGGCAATCCGACCAGCAGTTCCAAAGATTACCCCTACATACAAACTTACAAATTTTACCTCTTTATAATATTAGTATAGATTGGCAGCTTTATAGCTTGGGTTTCAAAAGTTTAGTAGAGCACCGAGGTGGATTTTATCATGGTCATTCAGTTTCAGGCCGCATTCAGAGTCCGTTAACGCCTGATAAAATTACGTTAGCAATCAGTCGCTGATTAGTATAATGTAGTTTTCTATAACCGTAAGGCTATAAGCCGCTACATATTCGCGGCAGTTTAAAGGTTCCTTTCAACCGTTTACCCGACGGAAACAACGCTATGATTGTTTCACGCCGGTTTTCTGTGAGGCCGTGATATCACTTCGGTCGCGCCAGCCCTTTCGTACCGAAGCATGACTCTTATTAACATTTTTTTTCATTGTTCCAGTGTCCTTATTTTCTCTGCGACCTTAGTTGTGGTGTCAAATCAGCAAGTGCCAAAAAGTGCTGATGGCGAGTGCCCTCTACAGGATAACCCAAGTACTATAAATGGAAAAGTTGGTACGTATAATTAAAACTAAGTAATTCTATTTTTACCCCCCTGTCCTACCTCCAACCTCCATTCCTCCCAATATCGAACCTCTGAAAAGACGGCAATGCACTTGGAAATTCCTCGATGTAGCGAGTGTCCGTGGGCGATTTCCTCACGATGTTTTCCTCCACTATATGTCAGTAAACAGTGCCTCATTGCGCTTACCCCGCAACCCTGGCTGAACATCAGCCCTATAGTCTGTGGTGGCCGTATAGTCTCTATTGGCTCTTTGAGGCGCGCGCGGAACGCTACGCGCCGTACGCACGGGTCTGGTTCTGGTCGGGCGACGAGTTGCCCTTACTCACCGTCCCCAGACCCGCGCTTACGATGGCCGGAGATCGTCCCTTGATCCCCGACGCCCGTAGTGTCGCCTGTTGCGGCGGCTGGGGCGTGAGGAGGAGGATTGCTCCCTTACGCGGGTTCCATGTCAGTAAACAGTGGTGTTTTAATAACTATATTGGCCTGATAAAAACCTCTTTTGTTTTCAGTGCACAACATAACAAGGGCTACGTCGTGTGTGAACGGCAGACGGATGGCAGGTTGCTGCGTAGCCAGAGGCTCATGTAACTTTACCACGGCACATGTAGACCTCACACTGTATGGACCGCCTGGTTTCCGCATGTAAGTATCTACCTATCTGGTACGTTTTATGGCTAGCTAGCGACCCGTCCCAGCTTTCTTTTTTACTAACTTCTCCACTATTTAATGGATGTAATCTGTACTTACAATAAATCTGTAGAATGGTCAATACGATAGTTTCCAACTAGTCAAATTCAATACTTTTATCCAAATGTCATAAACGATACTTTACTATGAAAATTGTATGAAACATTGAATTATGACGTCATAGCATTTTTGCGTCAAATAGCGTACTTATTTTTAAAAAATTAGCTAAAAAATATCTAAAACTTAGTATATCGATCGATCGATGAATAAAAGTATAGTTATTTTTCAATATTTTATCGTAGGTATTAAAACGTCGAATTAATTTATTTTTGACCTACGAAACTACCCAATTCTGTACATTAAATATATTTTCATTAAATGGAAAATGGAAAGGGTAATCAACTCTACTACATCTTCCCACATGACCTGCTTCAAATAAAACAAAAAAATATAATATAAAAAATAAACCAATATAATATTCGCATGCCTAACATTCTAATAGCATTGATGAGCCCACTGTTTCATAGTAAGAAATTTCAAACTGAATGTTTTCAAACATTTTGTGCATTTCCAATCTGGCTCTTCGCCTATATGGTCTTTTATGTGGGAGAGGAAGGATTCTTTAATTTCCATAATCGTATCCCCAGTAGCCCTGTAATGGCACACTACACACTCCAATTTGAACCACTCAGGAAGCGGAGGCAGGATAGAGTCTCCATACGCAGAGCGCACAATCTGAGCATGGTACATGTAAATTGGGGACATTACTTCTTCAAGCTGCAAATCGTACGCGAAATTATTTTGCCCCTCATCCGAATATAAATACCTTACGTACGGATATTTGGAGGCAAAAGCCCTGTAGCTGAATGGTACTTGGATATTATCCACCATTTTATCTAACTCTGATTTCATCACGTCGAAAATTGAATGTAACAACACAAACATCTGTCGATTCGTAATGCAGGCCCTTAAGATATGATCAAGACCTTTCATTATCACATCTTTGGATACCGGTACCGTTCTTTTTATAGTCATTTCTTGTACTTGAGTTGGATGGGCGTTATCTTTAAATTTCCTCTCCCCTGTCCTAGCTTTGTTCACTAGTGTATATTTCAATTTGAATTTTACTTCTCTATAAATAACTAAATGTGGCAAATTTATCGACACTCTAGTGGACCAGCCTTTTATTATGTCTGAGAATGTTAGCGCCCCCAATCTAATGCGTGTAGGGTTAGGTTGTAGGTTAAATATAGATTTCTTGGCATCCAAATCCGGATATCTGATTATCAAATAGTTCAATTGTTCCCTTGAGCACTGTACTTCCATTACAATTTGCTCTTCATCATTGTTCTCGAGTACGCTATCTTCTTTTTCCTCCTGTGTATTGCTTTTAATATTTTCTACGGCTTGCTTCGCTAAAGGCTTACCAACTTCGAGCATGACGCCTAAATATTCTTTTAAATTTTTATATTTATGATTCAGTACCTTCGTAATGGCATCGTAATCGTTACAGTTGCTCAGTTTGCTTGATATTCGTTCCAATTCCTCCCATTGGGGCCAATCTTTGAGATATCGTTTGATTATTTTAATGTATATATTAACTTCTAATTCGTGACTTGATTTTATACTAATGCCAAACTCGCTTTGCAGTATATCTATTATCTGTGCGTTTGTCATCACTGTGTTTTGTTTGTTGCGAATGAGACGACGCAACAGCAACATTATTGGTCGACCTGAAATAAATGAATCGAATATTAATAACTAGCGTCTGTCGGCGGCTTCGCCCGCAGTTTCAAGGTTAAAAGTTACCCATGGACCCAACAACGGAGCACGGAGGAGTTACGAGTGCGTTGTCGACCATTTGGGGATAAGGGTTTATTATGAAGATTTAGGGATTCGAGGGGGAAAAGTGTCACGTAATCTCACTTCACACACACGGCGAAAAACAACACAATGGTTGTTCGGAGTGGCTTATCCAAGTTTTCTTTGAGTTAACGTGATCGAAACGTTACCGCGTTTAGTCTTCTGATTGGTCGGCTAACTTGGAGTTGGCCAATCAGAGTACCGCACGTCATAAACGCTTTTACGTGAAGCAAACTCCTCACACTAGTCACTGTGACCTATTAGTATGTACATATGTATTCAACTTTCAAGTGATTGTTATACTGTAAAATTATTGTTAAGCATGTAATTAATAATTGAAATTGTGTAAACAATCAACTAAAATAACTAAACCGCGCGGACGTCGCCGCGTCCGCGTACGCTGCTCATGAGGAAGAACCCCTCTGTGGTTCGAAACTAGTAGAGCTTTTCTCGATATTATACACGTGAGTAACCCGCGATTTTTACTTAATTTAGTATTTCTCACGATAGTTATTATAAAAACATGTGTAAACAATAGTTGGAGAACCTATCACAATAAAAAAAAAAATATCAAAGTAACCAAGATCCAAGTCCAATGCTGACCAAAAGCATTGTCTTGTAGCATTAATCACTACAATTGCTCAAAGCAGGTTGTGAATTTCAAACCTATAATTTATTTATTTACATATAAGGTAGACTTACAGCTTACGTATACAAAGCAGTTCAGAGTATTTGTTATAGATAGTAGGTCTTATACATTAGCCAGTTACGCGCTAGCCAACATTTTTAAAATTATGTGTTTGTATTGTATAGACAAAATATAAATAGAAATTAAAAGACCAGGTTTCCTTAATAGTTATAATCAATTTAGATAAAAATGAATCACAAAATGTGTTGGTAAGCACATAACTCAAAAACAGCTGGACCAATTCTGCCAAATCCTTTTATTTTGTATTAATTATTGTCAGGAGAAGGTTTTCATGAAAGAAAATACATATTAGAAAAAAAGAGAAGAAAGTTGGTGTATATTTATATACACTGGGGCTTTAAATTAAAGTCCGAAAATATGTTAACAATATATTTTAATCCGTGTGTACAGAGGTGCGGGTGGCGGTGGAATGACGAATTCAACGGAAAATAATGCAAATGCACCAAGTGCCTCGAATTATCTAAATATCAGTCTCTATTCGACGTAACTTTGCCTTTACATTTTTGTGAGGAACCTGAGACGCAACAGTTGGGGATAAGGGACCCTTTCATTGTTAGTGTGATAGTTGGACTCATGCAAAGCGGGGGTGGACCGCTAGTACTGTATAAAAATGATGCGGTATGACTATGCTAATAATATGTTAAGATACCAACACCCAGACAGGGTTGTGGTATAGAATATTTCACATATAATTTATTTATTAAAAAAATACAACTGGGGTTTCGGGTCAAGCGCAATGATGTACCGAGGGCTTGATCTGATTTCTGACACAGGGCGAGAGAGAGAAATAATTTGAAGATATTATCTGGCTCAAAAAAAACATGTGATGTACTAGAACACATTGAGAATTAAGATGATCACAAGCTACAAAAATTTTTTTATAGTATAAGTCGGCTAACGAGCAGACGGATTAGGGTGATTCTTCACATCAATTAAAAAAAATTTAATAATGTCATTATCCTCAACCGAAAATTAACGAGTCTGCTGATTAAAACACAGATAATTATTTTATTAAATTAAATCTCACCACTGCTTACAAGCAACCGATTAAAAATATTGTATAAAATAAATTACTAAGATGCTTAAAAACCTGGGAGGATAATGACTTGTTCAATAAAAGTTAAGGTTTTTTGGAGAATCACCCATTACCTGATGGTAGGCCATCGGCGCCGCCCATGGACACCCGCAACACCAAAGGAGTTACGAGTGCTTGGTCGGCCTTTTGGGGATAGGGGTTGCGGATATAAGGGTCGGGCAGGGATAGGGGAAGGGGCGGGATTAGGCCTCCGATAACCTCACTCACACAGCGTAACACAACGCTGTGGTTGTTTCACGCCGGTTTGTGAGGCCGTGTTATCATTCCGGTCGAGCCGACCCATTCATTTATTAGCATTAGCAGCTGGCAGTTCGGGACACTACTTTCCCTCGGCCCGACCTTTACGATTGCCCTATCTAGACGTCTTCACCGGCCATCTTTATAGTTGTGAAAACATTTTAAATGTTCATTACCGACAACGAAAAATGTATAAAAACATAACCTAGATTATCCTAACCAAGTGTTAAGTGTTATTAGTAGTTAAACGAATTATTATATTTAGTATATTCATCTGAATTTACATCTTAAACACATTGTAATATAAAATAAAACGTACTCTCAGTTTGATCATCTTCCTCGTTGCTGTCGATATATTCCACGGCCTCGACATCATTTGAAGCTTCGTCCTCCATAACTAAAGCTAAAATAAAAAGAAATAAATCTTTAAGTCTTTTTAATTCACACACAATACGATTATCGTAAAGTTTTTCAACAAAATCAAACAAAATATTTTTCAATTTCAATAACAACTTACAAAAACGTCGAACTGTCAAATGTCAAATTTCAGGTCCCAATATTTTTTTATTTGGCATTTGGGCTTTTACTCTTAATATCTGAATGCTAAAAATATATTATTGACTTAACAATTACATTTCTTTTCAGGTTTTGCCATGATGTGTGCTGTCCTCTAAAGTATATTCTGCCGATATCGCTGCCTTCAAATTCTACGGGTTCTAACAGCGACGACGATAACGATTTGGATAGTGATAGTGATGAAAGCGATTAAAAAGTTTAAATTTAAAAAAAATCTGTTTATATGCTAAAATTGAATTTAGCAAACATGATCTCTGATTTGTGATCTACCTATTTGTATTAAAGTCAAAATCAAAATCATTTATTTCAATGAAACCCATACCTTTGAACCTCAAACATTATGTTACTCACAAAAACATAGCGCAATTAAAAACAGTGTAATCAAAACACAACCTTATTATAACCACGGGTTTGTTATGATAACTAATCATAACAAACCCGGCACCGATCCATCCATGCAAAACAAAAAGAAATGTACTTGCACCAACATAATAACAATCAAAGCAAGTAAAAATCAATCAAAATACATTTAACGTTTAAAAACAAAGTTTATTTTGTAAAGTAAGCAAAATGAAAACCTTATAATGAAAATATGTGTTGTTTTATTTACCTTGTCTTAATGGCATTCTGATATCGACAGCTGGAACTACGAAACACGACTGGGGTTGACGCATGCGCAAAATTAACTGCTACCCTCTCCCTACTTTCAGATAGGACCCCATAGAATTTCGATTTTGACAACAATGCGATTTTTTATTTAATGCATTCTTAAAGGGTAAGTTTTACTTAACAATACAAACCGTCATGTAGTTGTTGAAATTAGTTGAAACCTAAATACTTACTGTTTTTTTTAATTATATTATTAACTAATAATCGGCGGTAACACATATCATTGTATTATAACAAGTAAATAGGTACCCGTTATTTGTTTTTATGAGGGGTAAATCATCAAAATAAATGTCTTCTCCCGCCCAGGACCGGGCGGGAGGGAGTGTCAGACTCTTACTGACTAAAAACCCCCCTGTTCCTTCTCCTGCTCTGGGCCGAGGTCGCGGTGCCTCATTGCGCTTACCCCGCAACCCCGGCTGAACATTAGCCCTTTAGGGCCCCGTCTGTGAAATAGGTACCCGTAAGCCTGTCATGACTACGGGCTCTTGAAACTTAAAACTAGTCTACTAAGCCGTCAAAAAAGCAATAGTTATTGGTTGTATGAAAATATTTATTTCCAAAAAAGCGAATATAAATAAATAAACCTTAGACAGTCACAGGTATTTTTAGAAGAAATGGTTTTTTACGAACAATCTGTTTTTCACTGTGCTTGAGAACAACGCCATCTAATGACTACTGTCCGAAGTTACAAAGGCTGCAGTCGGAACATCTTCGGTGACTTTTTCTGCCACGACGGCCATGCTTCTCGCCTGATTTGTAATCGTAATTTTTGCCTGAACGCGGTTTTGACCTTGAACACGACCTGAGGGCAGAAGAATAAGAAGAAGAAGAATAATATAATATAATATATAGTGCGCCTACTCTAATTGATTGAGCAAAATGCCTACTCAGTGCGTTATTGTTATAACAAAATGTTAATTTTAAAATCAATAAATTCCTGAAGGGTGAAATTATAGGTGGAAAACTAAATAAAATTATAAATGCTTCGATATGCGCGGGGCCGCAGCCACCAAATTAATCATATGCCCTGTCAGATAACCGGCTTGGAAACAACCACAGCGTTGATTTTAGCCGTGTGATTGAGGTTATTGGGCCTCGGGGGCGTTGAGGGCCATTGCAAGAGTCTAGCAACGTACTTATAACTTCTCTGTTTTTTTAAATAATAACTGTTGTAAGTCGGCGTCACCGCGAGGCTTACGCTGCTCATGAATAATTGCCCCGTTGTGACAAGAATGTGGAAGGATTGGGCCTCCGGTTACCTCACTCACTCGGCGAAACACAACGCTGTGGTTGTTTCACGCTGGTCTTCTGTGAGACCGTGGTATCACTCTGGTCGAGCCGACCCATTCGTGCCGAAGCATGGCTCTCCCACACTTAAATTTGTACACACACACACACACACACATACACACTACACATAGACACTACACATATCATTTGTTAGTGTTTTACCACCCTATCTCCAAACATAATACAATTTTTAATATCTATCTATATTCTCCATTTGCCGTGATCTCAGGACTAAATGAAAAATGAAAACCCTTAATGACGTAAGTACCTCGAGCGTGACCTTGAGAGTCGGGTATGCTGGCAGTCGTCATCATCCTCATCGTCCTGGCTCTTGAAGAGGAGGCCCCAGTACTGGTAGATCAGGTACATTAGTGTCAACACTCCAGCCAACTGTGGACAGTCAGAAATTGTGAGGGTTCACTAGGGTTCACTTTATGTTTTTCTGCTGCTTAACTGCGCTTCGCATAGATTAGTGTATTCTTTTTTTTCATTTCGAAATGGACGATAATGCGACCTAAGTTCTATGGAGCATGCCTACCCATAAGCAACCTATTCACTCAGGCCTTGAAGATTCCGAGAGATGATCTCCGGCCGCCGTAAGCGCGGGTCTGCGGACGGCGAGTAAGGGTAGCTCGCCGCCCGACCAGAACCAGGCCCGAGCGTACGGCGCGTAGCGTTCCGCGCGCGCCTCAAAGAGCCAATAGACCACCACAGACGGGGCCCAACAGGGCTGATGTTCAGCCGGGGTTGCGGGGTAAGCGCAATGAGGTACCGCAACCTCGGCCCAGAGTAGGAGAAGGAGCGGTCAGTAAGAGTCTGATACTCTCTCTCGCCTTACCCTGGGCGGGAGAAGTCATTGGATGATTTTCCCCTCACAAAAAAAGGCCTTGAAGATTCCCAGGTATATCCTTCGGGGAACACAGACTCCGGCAAAGAACACCATAGTTTCCAACTAATGAAATCAATGCTTTTATCCAAATGTCAAAAACTTTAATATGAATACTTTTCTATGAAATTTCTAGGAAACACCAAATAATGACGATATACTTAGTATTTTAGCGTAATTTCTTGAAAAATTGTTTAAAAAAATATCAAAAGAAATTTTATATCGACAGATCGATGAATAAAATGCGACGATGGCTATGCGACGTAGAGACCGTGCGTTTCGTAAGCACAAACGAGACTGCACTGAGGAAAATTGGGTGGCATTTAAGATTGCAAGGAATCGATGCAACCAGACGGTACGTAACGCCAAACGCCGACACATCCTTGAAAACATTTCTTATCTTCTCCTGCCGATATCTGGAAATTTTTAAAATCTCTGGGTATTGGCAGAACGCAACTTTCAGACCTTCCTAACTCAATTAGTCCAGACGATCTTAACAAACATTTCTCCACTTCTTCGTCTTTGGATCGTCTGACTATAGATGGTACTGTGGCTTTCATTGCTGGTCTGCTGCGTTCTAAAATTGTTCCATTTCGTTTCGTTCCTGTGGAGTCAGCGGAGATCAAAAAGATTATCCTGTCCATCAAGTCCAAGGCTGTTGGTTGTGACAATATATCCCGTTACATGATCACAACAGTTTTGGACCACCTCTGCACAGCCCTTACTCATATAGTAAACTTTTCCTTGTTCACCGGTTCTTTTCCTTCTCTGTGGCGCCTAGCTTTTGTTAGGCCACTTCCTAAGGTCCCAAATCCTACTCTACCCACCCACATCCGCCCAATTTCAATCCTTCCATTCCTATCTAAAGTCCTTGAGGCTTGTGTTCACAAGCAACTCTCGCACTTTATATTTAAAAACTCCCTGTTAAGTCCTTTCCAGTCTGGTTTTAGACCAGGACACAGTACTACAACCGCTCTCCTCAAAGTGACTGGCGATGTGAGGCTTGGTCTGGATGATACTAAAATCACCGTGCTGGTGTTAGTTGATTTTTCCAACGCCTTCAGCATGGTCAGTCACGGTGTCCTCCTAGCCATCCTGTCCCATCTTATGGTCTCCGATGATAGTCTGCAATGGTTTTCTTCCTATCTTCAGGGACGACAGCAACGGGTACAGGTTGGTGATAATTCATCATGCTGGTGCACGTTGGAAACTGGCGTTCCTCAAGGCGGTATACTTTCCCCTCTTCTATTTTCATTGTTTATTAATATGCTTACCACAGAACTTCAATGTCCGTATCATCTGTATGCTGATGACTTGCAATTATACTGCCAAGCTAGCAGAGGGCAGCTGTCTGGTGCTGTTGATAAGCTAAATGTTGATCTGCAGGCCATTAAGAACTGGTCCGATAGGTTTGGGATAGCTGTTAATCCTTGCAAATGCCAGGCGATAGTTATCGGCAGTTCCCGTATGCTAAGTAAGATTGGTAGTAACACGCTACCACCTATAATATTCAACAACGCTGTCATCCCGTTTAGTAGCGATATCAAAGATCTCGGTCTGCACATTGACAGCACCCTCAGCTGGCGTACGCAGGTCACTAACGTATGCAAAAAAGTCACAGGTTCGCTACGGTCCCTATATCGTCTCAAAAATTTTCTCCCATCCTTTGTAAAAGCAGCGCTTGTGCAATCCCTTATTTTCCCAATTATTGACTATGGTGATGTTTGTTATTACGACCTGAATGCAGATCTCCTCAATAGGCTTGATCGACTTCTGAATAACTGCATTCGATTTGTTTTCAACCTGCGTAAATATGATCATGTTTCTGCACATCGGCTGCAATTAAAGTGGTTGCCCATACGCCAGCGCAGGGAGCAAAGGGCTCTCACCACTCTGTACTCCTTTCTTGTTTCTCCTTTTTCTCCTAGCTATCTATCTACTTACTTTCAATACACCATTGCAAACCATACTAAATATCTTCGTTCTTCCAATAATCGTCACCTTCAATGTATAAGTCATCACACTGACTTTCTTCACTCTTCTTTCTTTACTCAGTCTGTAATGCTATGGAATGCACTACCCACGGAGATTAGGATGGCAACCAGTCGTTTGTCTTTCAAAACAAGATTGCGTGAGCATCTTCTTAAAAAGTTGGCGAATTCAAATCTCTCATAACTACTTATTATTATTTTATTTATATATTTCTATGTAGTATATGTATTTTATGTACTTATACTTTATAGTTATATTAAGTATATTAAGTATTGCATATTATAGAATACCCTACCTGATGTTTATTTGTACAATGATATTCATATTTTTATTATATGTTTATATATATAGGTACT